CCGACCGAACCGACCGACCGACCGACCGACCGACCGACCGACCGACCGACCGACCGACCGACCGACCGACCGACCGACCGACCGACCGACCGACCGACCGACCGACCGACCGACCGACCGACCGACCGGACCGACCGACCGACCGACGACCGACCGACCGACCGACCGACCGACCGACCGACCGACCGACCGACCGACCGACCGACCGACCGACCGACCGACCGACCGACCGACCGACCGACCGACCGACCGACCGACCGACCGACCGACCGACCGACCGACCGACCGACCGACCGACCGACCGACCGACCGACCGACCGACCGACGGACGGACGGACGGACGGACGGACGGACGGACGGACGGACGGACGGACGGACGGACGGACGGACGGACGGACGGACGGACGGACGGACGGACGGACGGACGGACGGACGGACGGACGGACGGACGGACGGACGGGAGGACGGACAGACAGACAGACAGACAGACAGACAGACAGACAGACAGACAGACAGACAGACAGACAGACAGACAGACAGACAGACAGACAGACAGACAGACAGATAGATAGATAGATAGATAGATAGATAGATAGATAGATAGATAGATAGATAGATAGATAGATAGATAGATAGATAGATAGATAGATAGATAGATAGATAGATAGATAGATAGATAGATAGATAGATAGATAGATAGATAGATAGATAGATAGATAGATAGATAGATAGATAGATAGATAGATAGATAGATAGATAGATAGATAGATAGATAGATAGATAGATAGATAGATAGATAGATAGATAGATAGATAGATAGATAGATAGATAGATAGATAGATAGATAGATGTGCTGATTGCACAAGAGAGCTGAGGCCCTAAGTTCCGGCACCTGTGACTTTCAAGACTTGTAATTGTGTTTATATTGAAAGATTATCTTATGACATTACGCCAGTCCACAGTTGGTAAACAGCTTTTTAAAAAATCAAATTCCACAGTTGTAAAAAAAAAAAACTTTAACAATTCCTTAATTCCACAGATGTAAAACAGCGTAAAGAAATTGCTAATTCCACATTTGTAAAACAACTTAAAGACATTGCTCAATTCCACAGTGGTAAAACTGAATAAATGATTTACATAATTATTACTCGCCCTAATATCGGCTTATAAGATCAACATCTGAAAAAAAATGTCTTGATTGATGTTTATTTCCAGCCTGGTCTCATCATTTTTTAACTCTGTTTAATTGCGAGCATTATGCAAGATTTAGAAGTTTCGCGGATTTATCGAAGTGACCTTTTTTGTCAAGTCCACTCAACCTAAAATAGGAATCAAGAAATATCTTGGGAATAAACTTGATGTTGGTTACTTTACCCATCAGACTGACTTGACTTGCGTTTCGAAAAACAAATCGTCACTTTCAACCAGCATCCCACCTCCTCTCCCCAAAGGGGGAGATTTGGTTATAACTGTGGCGGTTATTTGCATAGCTCGCCACTAAGTAGCCCTGAAAAGGACCGTTGCAATGTTGATGCTATCAAGACAGACAGACACAAATACTGACCCCACGGACGACGAAACCGTCTGCTGGCCAGCCAATGGGCGACCTGATCACCAATTATACCTACCAGATGCCAGCTGGTCTACATATATATATATATACACAGGCCAGAATCAAAGACTGTAAAACATTCTGCATTTGAAGAATGATGCGGTCAACATATTTTCTTCCTGGGACATTTTCTGATACTAATTTGTGCTAGGTGTTCCAGAAAACCCTATTCATCTATTTTGATTCGTCTCGATGATGATTCCAATCAAATCTGTCGGCCTACAAACAAGTTTATAGTCAGTGAGCTACCGTGGCTCATTTATCATGTTATTAAAGGGGAGGGGGGATACAACCTTAGCTCAATGGCAATATGCTCTTCTACCGTCCACAAGCTTTTGAGTTGGAATCCGCAGATCCTCATGTGGGTTCCGGGCTATATTTGTTTGGGAAAAGGAATAGACTCACTGCCCCTACTAACAAGCATGTGGCAAAATACGGCTACACTTGGGTGATTCCTTAGAAGTCGGAGTACATCTGCCTGAGAAAGGAGGAGTCAACTGTCTGCACACACAAAAGTCATATCTATCAAACGGATGTGCATAGAAAACTCAGATTCTATAACAAAACCAAAGTCTAGAAGTGGACGAACAATCAGAGCTTTCCGTCAGAATTTACAGCTGGTGAACGCTAAGAAGAAGAATCTAGACTGAATCAGATTTTGTATTTTCAACAATTCACAATTGGATTCTAAGTCAACTCTGCCTAAAATATGTACCAGGTAATGTCATGGGAAGTAAAGGCGACCGATGTGATGTTGACCACGTCATCCACCAAGTGCTGAGAAATGTATACAAATAAGCAGTCTAGCATCATGCGACTTGACACACCATTGCCGTTGAAGGGGACAAGTACTTTCTCAATGAAGATATGCAATATTTTGCGGGGTAA